CCCCAAAACCCCAAAACCCCAAAACCCCAAAACCCCAAAACCCCAAAACCCCAAAACCCCATTTCCCTCTATCAGAGGAACTAATAAATCAATAAATGGAATAGGTGACCGCCCTCTCTAAGCCTAGAAAATTCTATTTTTGGTTATAAGAGCTGAAAACTAAGGCTCTATTTAAGGGGAATGCACAAAAAATTCAGGCAGAATGTAGCTTAAAAACTAAACATTTACTAGCAAGAAATTTTGATTGAATCCTATAGAAGGATGGGATTATTGTAACAAGTGAGGTCTCTGTCATCTACCAAATAGCAAGGCAAGCTATTATAATACTCCCAGTTGAGGATACATGATACTAAAGGCTTCACTCGTTTCTTTTTTGAGAAGATGACATCTCCGAGAATCTGTTTATGCATCTTGAATGCAAAGTTAACATCTTTATGCCATCCTTTAAGTGTGCTTTCGAAACTTAGTTTGTCGAAGAATCCAATATTTTCGATCATGTCTTTAGAAAGAAGGTATACCTCATCTTGGTGAATATTTAATCTGAAGACTCCCATGTGATCTATGTATCCAATCAAAGAAGACAGAGCTGGATCTGGTCGATCAGAGTATCGAATAAGATCTTCTTTATTCGCTCTGAAAGAGCTCATTTTTCTGATTATAGAAGCTGTCTTTACCATTTCATTCGAGTTATAGAATAAGGGTTTTTCTTCTTTTATCTGAGATTTATGCAAGGAATCTTCATCATTTAAAAGATCAAATTGATTGGTTTTCTTTTTGCTTGGGGTTGACTTATTAAAATCTTCTTTAGAAAGCTTATAACATTGTCAACTGTTTCTGATTACCTCAGATTTATGCTCCATAAAGACTGAAAGATATTCATATTTTTCTTCAAAATTAATGTTTTCAGAAGTATTGCCAAAATCAATAATGTGTTTACTTTCTTTATAAAGGTTACTATCAAGTTCATCAAGGAGGTCATCAAATTCATTTCACCACTCAAAAATATCTGCCTGTGTTGTATTTTTCTTCCTCAAAGATGTGTCGAAAGTATTGCGTTTGGGGGTCCCAGACATATTTTGGATCAACTATATTTAAAGTAAAGAACAAAGAGAATTCAAAGCTTACAGTGTCACTGTTGAGAATCGTTTTTGTAGTATTGAGTTTATGCATTGATACCATTTCAGCAACGCTCTGTCTCATTTCAGGCTCAGCAATATCTCAAAAACTCTCTTCAAACTCATCACAATTATCAATATCTGATTCTTCTTCGTCTGTCAATATTTTGGAGTCATTCCCATAAGTGTGAGAGGGCTTTGCCACAGTCTTACTTCTTGGTCTTTTTACAGGTGAATACAAGTCACCCGAACCTGAAGAGAAGTAAGCTCTATTTTGGTGACTTTCAGATAATTTTGCTCTAAAAATAAGTCAACTAAATTAGGTCTTACTCTTGACTATTGCTATATTTTCCCTTACTCTCTAATGGTGAGTTTCTTTCCTTGATAATCGACTTTTTAGCCGAATTTGATTCCATATTGTTTACTTCGGGATCTAGTTCACCTACTGATAAATTTTCTCTGAAGAAACCTCCTCTGCTGGGCTTATCGAAAATGACTCTTTTCCGGAGAGGATAGTCCAATGGGTCATTCTTTTCCTTTTTCCTATTTGAGAGGTTAACTAGAATCCAAAAGTAAAAGACTTACAATTTCTCATTGATTGTTTCATAGTTTGTTGGAGATTTACTATGAGCGGTATCGAAGGTCATTGCATTCGTTGTGAATTCTCCCTGAGTAGTCAGATCATTACTTCTTAACATCTTGTCCTTTCTATCAAAAATTAGGCATGAATATATGATCGCATTGGGTTTAGTAATTATTTTAGTAGAAATATCTTCACAAAAATGCTACACCATTTCATGCATGAGCACTCATTGGGAAGATTATATTCTGTTTAGTCCATTTTCCGAAGTTTCATCCTCTTCAAGAAGGATTTAAGAGGTATAGCTGGCTAAGTATAAAGGTTTGAATTGCAAGCCAATGGTGACTTATTCAGCACGATGAATCTGATATATGACAAGGATACTCTCGTCTCGATGTGAGAACTTTGGCAAAATTAAGTTTTAGAGAGGTATTAATGCTTAGAGTCTCAACATTTGCTAAGGTCAACTATTTAACATTATTTGTATATCAGAAGGACTTCTGAAGACCTTAGAAATTTTCATAGAGTTTTTGTGCAAGATCTTTCACTGATAATTTTTATAGCAACACCTGATACCAATGGTTTTAGGACTAATTTTAACTGAGTATCATACACAATGGTTAGAAGTAATTCATTACCAACATGATACTTCTCAGCTTTGCTATACTTCTATTTTTTTTATAACATTGGGCCAAGGCTTCGAATAAACTAAATAATTGATGTAGGATTTACCGAGGAAAATGGAAAGTAATCACTAATTATTTTCTAAATTTTAAAGCAATCTTCAGCCTTCAATTTGTTATTCTTTATTCAATGATAAAAAATTCTAAACTTTCCGATGCTTTAGCCCTGAAGTGTTTATTGAGCTATCTATCGAGCAATAAATTATGTTCCAGAACAATTAGTTCAATTTTATGGGGGTAATACTATAACATATCTGGAAAATAGTGCAAAACTTTATTAGTGTAGGCATAAATTTTATTCAGAATTTGTGCCTTACATCCCACCCTCCTTTTTAGGATTTCATTTCAAAGCATCTCTTCTGATCTTAGACCCGATAACACTTTGTTCTATCATATGGGTGTCAAGACTCTCTTTGAGAGAGACTCTTCTAAGGCCTTCCTGCCGAGACTTGCTCTTGCTTAACGATTTTAGCTGGGACTTCATTTTCTTGGAATCCTCAGGTTAACTATATATTATATTTCTATTCATTATTGATAATTAGGGGTTTTGGGGTTTTGGGGTTTTGGGGTTTTGGGG